TGGCAATAAAACCCTTTCTGATTCTGATTCAAGACTGGACTTTCAGGAGTGTCAAAGCCATTTTAGCCATTACCTACTCTCTTTTTCACCACTTGTGTTTCTGTTTTACCGACATGGAGCAGATAAAAGACAGGTGTAGCAAAGAAAAAGTTTGTCCAGCTCTTATTAACTTATGTTACTGTAAGTGCAATAAAAGCTTTCCAAATAGTGCTAAGTGCAAGATAACTAAATGAAAGAGAAAGGAAAAGAAGGAGGGAAATGTCATAAAGAAGTCTCCAACATTCAAAAAGGAAATGATCATTTGAGCTCCACCACATGCATCCAAGTACTTCACTACATGGTTGGATGACCAGGCAATGACCTGGTCCCTCCTCACCTGACTTACAGTGAGAGAGGGCGATGCACCTCTTTGAATAGCATTTGGGAGACTGTAGTTACTGCTTTAGCTGTCAACCAGTCATCAACCAATCAAGAAACTTAAACACTCAGTTGATGTAAGGTAATGAAAAAAGGGAGGTTACGTTCATTACCAGATCTTTTTGAAAGGCAGTTTTTTGATATTTTATTTAACTAATTAAATTGAAAAATACTTTTTTTAAAAATTATGCACTTTATAAAGCTGTATCTGTATAAACAGATGTGCTTTCCTCCATTGTTTTGCAGCTGACAGCTGTGTAACTAGCCCTCATATATCTCCTATTCGGTCAATGTCAGTCAGTGGAGTTCTCAGTTCACACTTTCTGCACTCAAAGTTGAAAAGTTGATTCTGTACATCTGGACACAGTGTTTTAGTGAGAGGAACGCCACTTGGATGATTGAGTCATTTGAGGAAGACATTATCCACTTGGATGAGTGACGAAATGTTTGACGAATGTTTGACGAAACTTTTCCCCCCTTAAAATTAGATGAACATAAGAAACTTTCTGGGATTTCCTTGCCTAGATGACTGAGCATGCATCAAGATATTAGTTTAGTTTACCAAACTTGGTACAAAGCCACACTTTCCTTTTTTCTTTGGTTTCTTTGGTTATTAATGTTCTAATAATTTTGCACATTTTGTCACGCAAGGCTTAAAATACCTGCTAAATATCTGATGTTGATGCAAGCTGCATGTATAACAGGATCCTTTTAAAAACTGGTTCAGAGTTTAGTTCGACCTCTGGGGAATCACAATCCTCCAGGGCAGCCAGCTGGCTCCTGGTGACTCGATGGTTCTGATTATTTAGGTTTGGGGATGGAGTCCATCTCCCCAATCAGATGCTCCTTTCCTAATGCACTCTCCTGGCGTGTGCTGAAAGAGCTGTGTAAACACTTTTCAGCAGAATAGGAGTCACCTTCAGGTAGCACATGAGAGAGCGTGCCTTTATTCCTTTTTTTCCACGTCATCCTTGCCCTCTACCTTCCTTTGCCCACCTTCTAAGCCACGTAATCACAGTAATGGTCTAAAAAGATTCTCCAACAGGGAGAGAGAGAAGGACAAAAGAGAAGAAAGAAGGGGGTTTAATGAAATGATGAGGGGATCAGTTAAGGGTAAAGACTTTGAAAGAGTGGAATGAAAAATCAACTTGGAGTACCTATATAAGAGAAAAGTTTAGTGATAGAGAGAAAATACTGTGCAGGGAAGTCTGGGTATTATTGGTCAACAAAGATGCAGTTTCTTTTAACTCAGCTGATTCAATTTAATATCAAAAGAGAAAGGACTGTAACAACTAATGAACTAATGATTATCTATTAATGTGAAGATTTATTTTCTGAATTGATCACATCTTTAAAATCACAATAACACAATGAAACAAAAGCCTTTTTTTTTAAACATTTAGTTAAATGTAATTTATCTCAAAGAAAAAGATCAGATCTTCACATTTCAGAGGCCGGGGCCAGATTATGCACAGGTTGGGAAATCTGAGAGAATAATCCAATAATTATGAGACACAATGAGAAAATGTTTCAGTTCAAGCAGGTACAGTTATCTACATGGCTTCAATGCAGCAACACAGTGAATAAAGTAAACCAGGCACAGTCTTCATCTGCAATAGAGTCTAGAATCACACACTGTAACTGTTATGCCAGACCACAGACATGTCCATTAAGATCTTCCCCACATATGTAAAACTCTTAAATAAATATGTGAATCAGAACTGTAAAGTAAAAGGTTACTTAACTTGCGATATTAATTACAATCTCTTTCAAAATTATATATATATATATATATATATATATATATTATTGATTTTTGCTTCCTTTCTCTTGGAGAGCTCAACTCATTCTCGTAAAGTCATCAGCAGTAGTTCAGTGTTGCTTAATAATTCAGCGGGGGCGTTTTGTACTATTGGCTGGGTGACACTGGCTCACAGGAGAGCTGGGTGCTGTGCGACCAGATGTCTTTGCCAGGCATGGGTAAACAAAAATCCTTGCCTGGGCATAATTGTGCCCCAGGGAGATTTACTTCCTCCTTCTCTCTGATTTTCAATTTTCTGTTTTGACATTGTCTCTACTGCATCCACCAGCTTTTCATAACTGTAATGTGTAATTACCAGCAATCTAGTACGTTGATACGTTATGTCCTTGTGATTCTTTGATCAATACTTTTGTTGTTTCTCGAGTATTAGTCGTGTGTGTGTCCCCCCTTCCAATGAGCAAGTATGTGCACATTTGTGCCACCACTGAATGTGCTTTTGTTTTCTCTCTGAAGATATTTTTCTTTTACTTTGTTTTCTTCTTGTAGCACTGTAGCGCTCTCAGTCGCTTCCCTCACGCCTCATGCTTTCCTTCCTCGTTGCAGTCCCTGCTATTCTCTTTCAATTTCATTTTAAAGCTAAGCCATTTTGGAGTTGAAGATAGGTCAGAAGTAAAAATTGGCCTATGGTAATGACATGGTGCATAATCCATCATCATAAGTGTTTCAGTAGTGTCAGTGTGCACTCATTTAGAATAACATGGAGAGGGGGAGCAGGTGGTAGAGTAAAGGTGTGCCAGAAAAAAAAGGTTCTTTGGGTTTGCACAGTGAGCCGCCTATATTCTCAATTACTTAAAAAAAAAGTCTTAATCATATGAACAGCCATAAACTAGTGGATTGTAGAAGTCTTCATGTTAAATGTTTAAAATATGTCGACATTTTCTTAGATTTTCGAGGAGGCAGGTATTGCAGCTGACTGCAATGTTTGCTGGAGAATGTAATTGTTCCCTTTACTGTGATCAAGTGGAAACACTGTGGGGAGCATTGCTCAGGGTGGGCAGCGGGCAAGCAAAAGCAACTCTCCATTTCACTTTGGAAGACGAGGAGTTGCAATTCCAGTTTTTTGCAGAAAAAACACTTTAGCTAGGAGTGGGGTGTGGATTCAATCAATCAATCAATCAATCAATCTTTATCTATAAAGCACTTTTCATACAAAAAATGTAGCACAAAGTGCTTTACATAGTTAAAAGCAGCCCACCCCACCCTCCAACTCACTCCCCAGACTCTCATTAACATAAATGATGTGAATACACACATATCTCCCCCCCCCCCCCCCCCCCCCCCCCCCCACACACACACACACACGCACACTTAAAGAGTAAAAATTGGGCTTGCCATAATTGAGCTTATTTATTACTTCACCATTTAGCTGTGTATGATTTTCAATGTGTTAACAAGTCAAAGAGCATCTAAATGAAGCAGAGCAAACATTTGCAAACTAATTTTAATGTTTTATATCATTGGTAGGGACCTAATACAAAAATCACTTTGTGCACCACCAATTTCAGATTAGATTTGAGAATATTGACTTTGACCCACCAAGGGCGCATGATCTAAATGCATCAGGCAGAGCAGACTGTCTTCAACAACAGACCTGATTTGCGACTCTGGGATGCGAGTGCGTATCATGAGTGCCAGATTGACGCGATGGGCTTTGCCACCTCCTGGCTATGACACTGAGAGCGTTAATTACCATGTCTTTGAGAGGACAATCTAATCTTAGGGACACATGGTGCATAAACCTGGGTGTCCCTGGGGGAGTTTGCTGCTACATTTTTGCAGAATTACATGCAAAAGTTTCTTGAAAACTAATTGATAAGTTGTTTAATTATTGCAATTATTGATCACATGATCAGTTTCTCTTTTGCATCTGTGTTTCCTGGGAATCAGCTGTTAGTCGTTAGTAATAAATCCATATTTGCATTGATAGGACTGACCCAAGAGCAACTGGGACACAAGACAAGTAAGGTAGAATAAGAGAATGTTTTTCTGTTGCTGAAATTCTGTAAAAATAATATATAACATATTATGTCGTTTATGTTATGTTGTTTACCCGTGTAACTGATAGAGTCCATGCAGTTGAGAAGGCAAAAGTATAGGAAGGGACAGTTTATTGTGAGGCAATATTTTATTTACTGTAGTTTTCTTTTGTTTGGTTAAATTCCATAAGGGTTTTCCTGTTACTTTCATTATGACATTAGTTTTTTCTCTTGCTAAAACTCTGCTGTTTAACGATTCCTTTTTGGCTCTCGTTTGCTGAACAACTGCAGCTCTCGTTTTTTTGGAACACCCTACATGACTTGAATAGATTCGACTTTGACTAGGACAGAGAAACTTTAAAAAATAAAGTGCGACATGTCAATTATGCTGTTTGTTCGTCAGAAAGAGTATGGCTAACTAATGACGCTGCTGAGTTGCATTACTGGATTGAATTTTAAAATATGAATGTTTTCCTTTCCACTGCTGCAACATGTTTGCTCATATCTGATTGGTGGGCTTTCCTCTCTATTATTCTAAGGTCTTTATTTTGAATCCAGTGTTTTTGGAATTTGAACCATGCTTGGACTGTAACCCTGCTGCTGCTGCTGCTGCATTGATTTAAATACATTTTAAATGTCTCATATGTCCTCCACTATGTAACCACCCTTGAAATGACTGCAGCAGAAAATATGTAATTTCTTGTCCTCCTTCTGCAGCATTCCTCTCTTGTCTTATTTACAGTGAATTGATCAAACTAATTGCTCCTCCTTTGTATCTCCTGCAGGGAGAGCATAAGGACACAGATGTCGTTGAGGAAAGAAACGCCCAGGTGCAGCTGGAGAAAGCAAAGGTACTTTTGCTCTGTTGCATCATGTATCACCTGATCTGACCCACTGTGGCTCTTACAGACTCATTTTTGAGAGAGGCTGCTCTCAAGGACATGATTACATCACAGACATGAAACACACACATCAGGACATTGGATTAGCGAAGCAATATTCTTCTACTGAAATGAGTCATCACAGTCTTCATCCTTGTCGTTCCTTTATGTGCTCACTGCCAGGAGAAGGATGATGACCAAGGATATTGATTATTGCTTCACATAAATTACAATACTTTCATCTTCAGCCATATGCTTTCTAGCAAGATAGCAAAATAACCAATTTAACTGACACAAACTATATTGTAATGCAACAACATTTAAATTTGATATGTGATTAATTACTTTGCCCTCAGAACAACAGTGGATATGGAACGCCAGGACTGCCATAATGAATTAATTAAATACACCATTAAATAATTAATTAAATGTGGCAATAATTAATTAAAATGTGAAATACATAAATAATTAATTAAATGTGTCAATAATTAATTAATTAAATGTGTCAATAATTAATTAAAATGTGAAATACATAAATAATTAATTAAATGTGTCAATAATTAATTAATTGCATGTGTCATAACTATTTATTTAATTAATTAATTCCAATTTTAATTAATTATTGCCACATTTAATTAATTATTTAATGGTGTATTTAATTAATTCATTATGGCAGTCCTGGCGTTCCATAAGTGGAACAACATTTTTCTGCAGTGTGTATATAATAAACACAATATGTAGATAGTCAAGATGAGGTAAAACGATTGAACCTGCTGGTATTATACTATGAATGTAATATCATATGGTTATCATTTTTAAGTCTGGCTTACATACATACAATCTGCGAGGTTTTCCTTTTGGGGCATTATCACAATTAAGGTCATTAGAGATGTGATTTTTTTAAAGCCCCAGTTGATAGCAGACTTCCTCTCTTTTGCCCTTTAAGCAGACCCTGCTGATGTGTTGTATATTAAATTAAATCCTCCCCCACAGATTTAATGTGCTCCCACTGTTGCTTTGTAATTAAGGCGGCAAAGACACCCGACCTGTCACCTGCTGACCCTGCAGCCTCTCCCACAGTCTCTAATCTTTCCAAAGTGGAGTAATTAGCAGCTTGAATGACAAGCCACTGACATTTGATTCTGATTGGATTACAACACCAACCTTCGGTCAGGAGGAACCATACAGTAGTTACAGTGCAACAAAGAAGAAACAGCAACAGGTCATTTTTCCTAAGCATAAATTAAACATATCCCTTTGGTGGAAGAAAAATCAAACAAAACATTATCGTGTCCTATGACAGTCAGACAACAGGAATTTAATCATCAGCTTCGTCTTATACAGCTGAAATGCAGAATCTTCCAGAATTTGTGTCTAAGCTATATTTCTAAAATATAGCACTTCACATTAAACTTATACTTGTTTTCCTAACATCTGTCAAAAGGTTGATTTATATGTGCATCAGGCCACATATTTGTGTATGTACACAAAATGCTGGCAACACAGCCAATTGTACTTGACACAGTTATGCAGTTTAGCCACACCCCTTAATTAAAAAAAATGTAGAAAAGGGAGAAAAAATTGATAAATGTTATGATCTAATGATGTTAAAACACTGGAATGAAGTCAACATTCTGAAATTCTCTAATAGTTAGTTGCAACTTCACATACAGTAAAATAGGATTGAATATTAATACAAGGATAAAAGATCAGTGACTTGTTTGGTCGTACGTTACAGCTTGTGGTATTATCACAGTAACTCTCTTTTCTTGACTAATGGTTGTATTTTTAACTTTAACCTACTATTTTTTTACTTACCTATTATTACTGACCTAATTCATTAAATGTCATATTTATAAAAGTTTAGCTTTTAGCTTTTGTAAAATGGAATACACAAGGTTACTCTCTTACCCTGATGTAGATTGTATTGTATATAATATGATTTATTAGTAATCATAACTCCTGCCTTGTATTCCCAGTACAAGCCTGTGGCATTTGCTGTACGATGCAACTTCTCTTACACGCCAGCAGACGATGACAACGTCCCTGTACCAGGCAAGGCTGTCACTTTTGAGGCCAGGGACTTCCTACATATCAAAGAGGTTTGAAACAAACACAAATACACATATCATGCAAAATTACAAACAGTACAAATGGGGGTTGTTAAAAGGACCTAACTGACAGGGCAGAACCAGACGGATTTTAAAATGAGAAGCAAAATGACAACAAACTGATGGAATGTAACCCAAGAGACGGAAAAGAAATCCAAAGAGGAGAAGCAACACAACATCCCAAATTGTCCAGATAGTGGCGTACTTTTGGTGCATTCTTCTTCTTTTCGCACATTTTGAAATGTGCTGTGGTTTAGCTGATAAAGCTATGGGGCGATCGTGGCTCAAGAGTTGGGAGTTCGCCTTGTAATCGGAAGGTTGCCGGTTCGAGCCCCGGCTTGGACAGTCTCGGTCATTGTGTCCTTGGGCAAGACACTTCACCCGTTGCCTACTGGTGGTGGTCAGAGGGCCCGGTGGCGCCAGTGTCCGGCAGCCTCGCCTCTGTCAGTGCGCCCCAGGGTGGCTGTGGCTACATTGTAGCTTGCCATCACCAGTGTGTGTGAATGGGTGGATGACAGGTTGTGTAAAGCGCTTTGGGGTCCTTAGGGACTAGAAAAGCGCTATACAAATACAGGCCATTTACCAAAGCTTGACACCTGTTAATTAAGATTTGGGTTAATCTTTAGAGACAGATAACATAAAATGCAAAGCTACAGTTGCTAAATTGGACCATTAACATCATCAGATAAAAATAATGTCACATGAGAACATCAATCTTTAAATGTCCGCTCTTCTTTTTTTCTTCTGAATGAGCAGAAGTTTAACAATGACTGGTGGATCGGACGGCCGGTGAAGGAGGATGGTGTGGTGGGCTTCGTCCCCAGTCCAGTCAATCTGGAAACCATTCTTATCCGAAGAGAAGTCCAAGCGAGGAAAGCTGCCAAGGCATTAGCCAAGTATGTACATCGTGATGCTCTTTCATTTCCTTCATGAGGGTTTTTATGCAGGAATTTCAATGCAAAAGTTGTGTTTTAAATTGACCACAAATAAATAAAATTGCTGGAGCAGAGAGACTTTGAGGAAACAGTGTTGGTTCGAATGTGTATACACTGATACTTTTGGCACAAAGACGAAAAAAAAACAGGAAAGGTTGTGATATCAGCCTGTCTGCGGGTGGTGGCTCGGTAGCGGACCTTTTTTAAAAAACAAAAAGACAATTCTATAGTCTTTTTACTGGTGTGGAATAATAAGTTTTCAATTTAAAAAAATTATCAACCAGACTGGTAAACAAGTTTGCTGTAGTGATATGCAAATAACATTTTGACTTAAAACTTGTATCATACACTTTCCCAGCTTACTTTTTAGTAATTTAGTGTGTTCATGTATGAATGACATTAGTTATTTTATGTATTTTATGTTGTTTAACTTAAGTTTGTTTCATGTCATCATGTGTGGTAGTAAATTATAACGGAGATGACTATATTTTCCTTTTGTTACTTCAAAAGGTTGCACCCCCACCCTCCTCACCAGAAGGCAAAAGCTCATTGATTGACACAGTTAGACTGTAACACATCTAAAGAATCTTAAAAATGTTGCTTTGGTGGAAACTGCGCTGAACCACTTTGAGGAATTTGCCCTCTAAGCTTCATATATTTGTGTCTTATGCTATAAATAGACACAGTCTCTAAGCACCAAAATCCTTCATTGCATAGAAACATGGTGGTCTATTTTTATCATTACTAAAGCACTGAAATTCAGAGTGTGGTAAAATCAGCGTTTGGTTGTTGCAGACTTAAACTAAATCAGAGATTTCCTCTCATTTTAGCAAAGCTGCATCTCAGGTAGCTCAAGATATGAACTCGAAGAAATATACGCCTCCATCACAAGGTCAGTATGTGCATACAAGGGAGTAACAATAAATATGTTTACTTTTTTATTCATAATAACTGTGGAACGTGTGCGATTTTGTCATTCTGCACAAGCAGCCAATCAGCAGGTGAAAAAGAAGCCGGTAAGTGACGAAAGTGTTTACACTCTGTTTACATCTGTTTCAGCCCATCGATCCTCATTATAAAGAACACTGCTTTCTAGAAACACAACAACTGATTTTATCTTATTCATATTTTCACTGCATACAGTGTATTCTTGAATGCAGAAGCTTTGGTTTTGTCTTGTGTACCATTTTACAAATGTTGTTCTAACTTTCAGACTAAAGCAAGGATATGTGTGTTGTCCATTGGACTGACAGTGTCAGTAAAACTGGCTGTCATGATTCAGCTGTGTACAGGCAGGAAGAGGACCCAAAATGCAGAACTCCCAACACGTGGGAATAACTCAAAATTCAGCTTTATTGCTGACACACGGAAATAATACAGGACTAAACTAAGCTGGAAAATATAAACTTCATCAAGAGGCACACAAGGAAACACACAGCATGAGGGACAACACGACACTGACGCAGAGAAACACAGGGCTTAAATACACTGGGGAATAATGAGGGGAATGAGACACAGGAGGAGAGCACAGCTGGGAGAAATGAGACATGACGAGACCAAAGGGAAGCAAAACTAGAAACACTGACATGAGACACAGACCTTCAAAGTAAAACTGAACTCTAGACACGTAAACTTAACAGAGACTGGGGAGGCAGAACATCGAGACCTGAAATGTAGGACAGAAGGGCACAGAGTTAACACCAGGAAACCAAACAACAAAAACTAAGAATTAGAACTCAGGAAGTACTACAGAACCAGGGAGCTAGAAATACTAGGACAGAAACCAAAACACAAACAGTCATAATCCATGATAAAATCAAAAGTAAAAGTACAAAACTCAAAACACTGGGTCACCGATCCAGGACCGTGACACTGGCCAACTGAACTTTTGACTTGCATTTAGATCACCTTGGTATATTACGGGCTAAAAAAATAGTTCATGAATTTCTAAGTTGCTATCTCATATGACCAGCTAAAAAGTGAGAACAAAATCTAATGCTCAAAGTGGTATTAATAACATGTTAATAAGTTATTCTTCTTTATATGTTTAAGCATTTGAGTACAGCCAAAATTGAGCTTGTGATCATCATGCATTATCAAACTTTGAGGTTGTTCATAAAAATAAGATAATTTTAGCCTTTAGATGATGGGTATAGTGGTTCCTCATGTAGCTCTTGTTTCATAAGCAAAAATCTAACTTTGGGGGATTTTTGTAAATTTTTTTTTTTTGCTACAGGGGGAGCAGGTGGCTATGTATGATGTAGTGCCTACAATGCGCCCTGTGGTTCTAATGGGACCATCACTGAAGGGCTTAGAGGTGAGCTTAATTTGACTTTTGAAGAAATATAAAACTCTAGTATTATTTGTTGAATTTGGAGTAACTTTATTTGTTTCCCTCTTGTAGGTAACAGATATGATGCAAAAAGCACTATTTGACTTTTTAAAACATCGATTTGAAGGCAGGTAAGTTCTGATTTAATTCTTCACATAATCTATCACATAATTTATTTGAAAAAAAACAACAACCCCAAAATAAAATAAAACAACAAAAATCATAACTGTGTAATCATGATTGTTATTTTGTCTCTGCTCCAGAATTACTATTACGCGGGTAACAGCAGATATCTCACTGGCAAAACGATCCATCCTCAACAACCCTGGCAAAAAGGCCTTAATGGATCGCTCCAACACCCGCTCCAATTTAGGTATGCCGTCTGTCATCTCCAGAACAGCTTCCCTGGTTGACATTCACAGCATAAAGACAACTGAAGCAGTAGTAGCAATAAGAAAATAAATCAATTACAAAAACAGATGGAGAAAATCATGACAGCCACTCAAAATGCATCATATATGAAAACACAATGTCCCAATTTAGCATCTCTTCCTCTGACATGTCAGTGTTATGGCTTCCCTGCACGCAAGTTCAACCCCTCCACCACCCCAGCATCCACCTTCTGGCTCCAGGGCATGTTAACTTATCACTCTAATGTGAAACACATAGTGATAAAGAAGCATCCCTATGAGCTCAGAGCATGGACATCAACCTTTAACTGTCTGCTGCTGTAATGAATCAATCATTTCAAACGACAGTGGTCTGACTACACTTCTTTAATTGTTTAAGCGTTCTGGGACTCACTTTTTTGGTCTCTGGTGGCAAAAAACTTTTGGAAACCTAATTAGGATAAAATAGGAAACCAATACTGTCTGACCCAGGTTTGATATGATGCTTGCTTTACCCCATTAACACAGTGTGGCTCATGCTCACAGAGTTTGCTTTTATATATGGTCCAAAGATTATTCCAAATTCATAATGTGAGAGAATAATTTATCCATTGCCATGAAGACAAAGAGTTTGAAATGAATAGTTAAATATGACAGAAACTCAGATGAGAACACTGACATCAGATCTGCGTAAAGCAGTCTGTTGTCTGTCAGTTATGGTTATATATTGACTGGAAACTTACTGTGGATTTGATGTCTTTGTCCCAGTGACACTGTGCACTAGGATAGTGCAAATCTCGCCTTTTCCTAGAAGAGTAAATATTTGGTATCAGACAGAAGCGTGATAAAAATTTGTTTGGTTTTCTCTACTCTTGTCTTTCCCATTGCTGTCTCATCCCAGATGCTGCCGGTATGTATTGACTGAAAGCACTGGTAGTCCTTGTGTTTTTGAATGCTCCACTTTCCTTCTCCTATCATTACCTCATCACATCTGTCTCAGCTGCCACTTTTTTAACACTCTGTATGTATACAGCCATTGACTTGTGGACTTCACTGTCATTAAAATTGAAATCGACTGTTATTAAGTTTCTCAGTTTGCTGGGTTGAGAGATATGCATGTGCTTCACTGTTATTTGTGAACACTATAACTCATTAAGGACAGAAGCAGCCACATTTTCTGTATGCCCTGCTTCACGCTCCCTCTCGTGGCCAGTCTTTAAATACACTCCCATGAGTGTAACAAGTCTTACTCACCGCGTGGATTAGCTCACCAAGAAAATGAAAACATCCATCCATTCGCTTCCGCTTATCCTTTTCAGGGTCGTGGGGGGCGCTGGAGCCTATCCCAGCTGTCATAGGGCGAGAGGCAGGGTACACCCTGGACAGGTCGCCAGTCTGTCGCAGGGCCAACACACAGGGACAGACAACCATTCACACTCACATTCACTCGCACATTCACGCCTAGTGGCAATTTGGATTTTCCAATTAACCTATCCCCACAAGCTGCATGTCTTTGGACGGTGGGAGGAAGCCGGAGTACCCGGAGGGAACCCACGCAAACACGGGGAGAACATGCAAACTCCACACAGAAAGACCCCGGCCTGATGTTGGAATTGAACTCAGGACCTTCTTGCTGTGCGGCAACAGTGCTAACCACCGTGCTGCCACAGAAATAAAAACAAATAACCTTTAAAAGAAGTTTTATTAAGCATGGCATGTTTTTCATAAACACAGTTTTTAATCTGCTGATGTGTTTTGTGAAGTGAGTGTGCGTACCTTTTGTTTTCTATATTAGAAATGGTATAGCAGAGAAAAGATGACAATAATTACAAATAAGCACATATCCTAGAGTGTCTGTGGTTTTGCACGTGACAGTGAGATGTGCTTAAAACTAATATTGACATTTATTTTTTGTACATTATCAAGCCTGAATGACTCCCCATAAAATATATAAAAGTATTGTCTTGATACAATCTTGATAAGTCACTGGTATGTCTTGATACACATCCGGAACCTAAAAACAAGTTATATTTAAGATGCGTTATTGTTGTACATGTTAAAATGTTTAATCATGCACAGAGTAACTTTCCTGGATTTTAGATGTTAAAGTCTTGCTTTTGCTTTCTGGTGTTGCAGCTCAGATCCAAGGGGAGGTGGAGCGTATCTTTGAGCTCGCCCGCAGTCTGCAGTTGGTCATTTTAGACGCAGACACCGTCAACCACCCTATGCAGGTGTCCAAGACCTCCCTAGCTCCAATTCTTGTCTATGTAAAGATCTCCTCACCAAAAGTAAGCTTCACCGGAAAAGACTGTGGAATCCGATGAGACATGATTTTTCTAAACGTGAACTTTGGACTATTTCAGTTCGTTTAATATTTTGAACTAATAATAAAGAGAAACTTTAAAATGCAAGTCCCTTTTTTCACTTCCTCTTTTATTCTCCTCCTTCTCTTGATTCCTGACAAACAGGTGTTGACAAGACTGATCAAGACCAGGGGGAAGTCTCAGACCAAACATCTCAATGTTCAGCTTGTGGCAGCAGACAAGCTTGCTCAATGTCCACCAGTGAGTGCCATCTAGTGGCAGATGAGAAAAGTTGGCAGAATTGTGACTACTTTAGTGCATGAATATATACTACATGTGTTATTTCCAGTGGCACTGCTGAGGGCCCAACAACAACATATCTGACGATTTTGGTGTGCCGTTGAAACATCATTTAGACCTTATTTGTGATTCTCAAAAATAACCACAGATTTGCCCTTGTCTCCTGACTGTTACACACTTTTCAATTGAATTTTTCCATTTCCTGTAGGAAATGTTTGATGTCATCTTAGATGAAAACCAGCTATCGGATGCCTGTGAGCACATTGCTGATTACCTGGAGTCCTATTGGAGAGCCACTCATCCGCCAGAGATGGAGCCTGCCAACGCAGTGGTGGCCCAGCTGGCTGAGAATACACTGCCTGCCAGTCCTACAGTAATACCGGTACTTAAAACACAAACAAGTACAGAGAAAAACTACAAAGAAAAAACAGATGTAAAGTCTTCCTTTCATCTAATCTCATCCCATTCATCTCATGTATTAGAAAGACAGCTGAGTGTGGAAAATAAATGTTTGAACTGTGAATAATCTCATCAGAATTCATCTAACACTTTCATTTCATTTCCTCTCATCGTACTTCACTGGAAAGTTGAAGAAATGAGATAGGCTTACCTCTGGTGAGTGAGATATTTTCAGACTCTATTGTCACTCCCGTGTAGCAGTGGAGATGAGTAGTTAGTACCATGTTTATCATGACTATAGTGTAATCTATGTAGAAACAACTTAATAGTGCTGTGAAACTTCCTGGGAAAATGACAGAAAACAGAAATAACACAGACTATATGAAGATAGACTAATACTGTAGTAGATACAAACAAAAGGCAATAGTTGGATTGATAGGCTGACCTACTTTTATTTAATTAAGTTAATTATCCCAAGCTAAGGCTATCAATTAAAACACATGTACTTTTCTTCTCTTCTTTGATGAATCTCTTAACATTTGGTGAAGTTGCATTTCTTTTTTACCATTGTCCTAACTGATTAAAATAAATATTTGTGGTGCAAACAGTTTAATATGTAAATGATTTAAAAAAGGAGTGTTGACTATGGAAATCAGGCTCATGCTTGCGCACATCTATACAGTTTCAACGATTGAGCTTTAAATAAAACAGCACCATTTCTACCTTTGTGCATATACTAAGTTGTAGTTTTTACAGTAAATGTGGAAACTTTGTCTTTATTCACCAAACTGAAAATAGTTTTTTGAGGACAAAATACTGACAAAGAAAATAAAAGTCAAACATCAAAATAAATGTCTCACAGATCTTTGCAATACTTATTAAACAGTCGTGACCTGTAATGTAATGGAGGATTTAAGCTCTCCACCCTCCACTACATGCAAAAATAAGATATCTGTCAATTACAGCGACAGTTTTGACCAGATCATTAGATATAAGAAGATAAATATTATTCTAAGATAAAATGATGGTTTCCATCATGAATGACCATTTTAAACCAGTGATCCAGTTATACTAATGTAATCACAATTATCTTTTAATTCATGAGAATATTTCGTCTAAAAGTCATATTTTTAACTTTTTTGCCCCAATTACCATTTCAAGTTCTATAATTTATAATACAAAAAGAACTTTCATAAAGATCTGTCCATAAGCTTTTCCTGGCCTAAATTTGTAAGATGTATAATCTGTGATATAATGGTTATATTTAGTCAGAAAACACTATGTTTTTTCTTTCTTTTTTTCCTAGGATGAGCAGAAAAGCAAGAAGTCAGGTGCCCCTAAGAGGAAAGGCTCACGGGAGAACCATCTAGACCATGAGCCCCCTTCAGTCCCGGCTCAGGAGCAGACCGCTGAGGAGGGCCAGAGAGAGGAGGAAGAGCGGCTCCTGAAGACTGAGCCAAAAAGACCCCAGCACACCCACCACCATCACCATCACCACCACCACCGGCGGACGGAGCACCACAGCCACGTCCAGCACAGCCAGACTTCAGGTGGCATGGAAATACAGTCGAGCAGGGATTACGCCTCAAGGCCTCCTCGAAGGTACATGCCCGAGGAGAGGGATGGCGAGGTGGACGATGTCCTAAAGGAGGACGAGGAGGAGATTTACTGTAACTTCCGGGTTCATAACCACCATCATCACAACAGTAACCACCAACACCATCACCACCACCACCACCAACATCATCGTGGAAACATCCAGCCATATGTTGGGGAGGACTACGAACAGGAGCACAATGAACGCAACCGGCAGCACAGACATCACCAGCATATTCCACCACGGACACACCACACAACGGATCACTATACTGCACACAACCATCACAGCTACCACCACTACCCAGGCAGAGACCGGGAGAGAGACAGGGACAGAGACAGGGAAAGAGAAAGAGACAGAGATAGAGACAGAGATAGAGACAGGGATAGGGATAGAGAAAGACATAAGGACAGGGAAAGGGACAGGGATAGGGATCGAGGTAGAGATAGAGATAGAGACAGAGATGCTCGACAGTGGCACAGAGATTCCTATATACACTAGTGACTGTTGTTTCTACTCCAGGTTGATGCATGGAATTATGCTTCTCACCTTATAATGCACTAATGGGCAGGGCAGGTTATGTCTTCTTTGTAGTCAATGTTTCTCCTCATATTGCATTTTTTAAAGATTTACCCTGTCCCACATGCACACATCTAGTTCTTTCTTATTTTAGCTCTTGTAAGATAAAATTTTTTGTATGTTTTATCCTAAGTCTTACGGCTCCATACGTGTTTTGGCACAAACAGTGGTCAAGGTTAAACTGCATCAGAACACTCATGACTCGCTCTAGTCTAGCGTTCACGATAATAATTTCATATATAATTTCAGTATCCACTAAGGTTACTTTTTTAATTTGTCATGATCACAGCAGCCAATAGATTTGTCTGACCATCAGTCAAATATCGAAAGATGCTCAGTTTACAGTAATTCAGAATAGCAGCAACAACAAAAAACATGTATTATGTTTTGATTCAGTATACAGTAGCTGTGACATCAGACTAAAATGTTTTACTGTGACTTTGTTTTGATATTGTGAAACATTATTTTGTGTCAACTTGGTTCTTGAACCAAACAAAACAATCAGTTTGGAAATGTCACTTTAAGCTATGGGGAACTGCAATTTGAATCTTTAACATTTTATTGACTAAAGAGTAAATTTACTAATGTATAAAGTGGCAGGTTAATCAATTAAACGAAATCATTAGTTGCAGCCCATTAATGTTTATCTCCCTTATCAGACAATTAACTAACTCATTAAATGCACAAAATGTGAAAGAAAAGTTACAACAATGAATGTTGTATTTTAGGATATTTTCTTCTACATATCTGCACAGTGAGATTTTTTTGTCTGATCAAATGTTCATACAACTGTGGCGAACAACTGACTTGTGCATTTCGGTGTCACATCTTCATTTAAATTGGTGTGTCCAAAGACAAGTTATTTTAAACACTGTTATGAAAAGTCAAACTATTTTTCTACATGATTTGAGAGTGAAGTCACTACTTTACTTCCTACTTTTTACACTGGTGTACAAGCATATTTACTGACTTGTGTTTGCTGTGTCTGGAAGCATGAATAATCTTTTGGTGACACTGACCTGTGCTATATGCTGGATACTCTATGCATCTTCTTGTGATAAAATATATTGCTTGAATACAATCTCTATGCATTTGTACATACTTCATAATTGCCTTGTTAAGTAAATGTAAGGAGAACCAGAGAGCCTCTTGCACTGTTTGGTAAGACTTTGGTAGAACCACAGACTTTAACAAGACGGGATTGACTCTGTTCCTTTTAAGACTTTTTTTTTGGCTATCTTTGTTTGTTGGTTGGTTGGTTTTGTACAGCATTCAGAAGTTAATTTCGACAAATATGCATTCTATTATTGAAAATCATTAAACTGTAAAATGTGTTAAATGACACCACACTCAATAATTACTGTCCACTGAATCTATCAGCGAAAGTTTTTTTTCAAGATGAACTCAAGATCATCCAGCAGTATTGCAAGAGAGAAACAAGGTAACTTGCCCGAACACTTAAGGTCACGGGAACCAAGATGGACAAACATTTAAGCAAGCTCATATATATTTTTCATTTCATTTAAAACATCAAATAAACCAACAGAAAGCATAAATTCCTATCGCTACACTTTTCCTGGGTCTTATGGTACAACCACTAGACTAGGTGCCAAGAAAGAGAAAAGCACGACTTATAATTTGTGTTTTGCTGATAAAATCCTGAGCAATATTGTCAGCAAATTATTTTTCCATTACAGTATTTGGAGAATTTTCTCTCAAGATAGTCGAATGGTTTAATGCACAGTATTTAAAGAGAAACAAAGTCAATGTAGAAAATGACACAGAAAACAGTGGGCACAATTTTCAGGTTCACGTGTTCCATTATAGATTTAATATGATAACGGTGGTGCTGCAAGAGAGTTCAATGTAGCTGTTGATTGTTTTACTATTGTTGTGTAGCATAACCTATAATATTGAAAATTGCAAAATAATGAGTAAAGTTTTAAAATAAATATGAAAGTACAAAGAATAATACTTACATCCAAAGTACAGTGGAGTAGAAGCAAAAGTAATAAATGTTGAGCTCATAAAAGAGGTCAAAGAAACAAAACTAAACTCAGGCAAACAACTGCAAACTTAACAAACCAAATGACTGCCCAAACAAACATAACTGACCTCAACAGGAAATGACACAAGGGTATATATAATGGCTGATCAGACCACTATCACACATGAGGGGTAAGTAAACAGAACACAATCATAAACCACAAAAACGATGCAGTACAGTCTAGTTTGTTAATAAACAAAGAAGAATCTGAATCAGATCTGAGAACTGAAAGCTGCATAGAATTATGTTTCATAAGTAATAAGAGTAAATGTGAAGAAAATCATAGAGGACAAACTGTGAATCTTCTGTGAATTAGATTTCTTGTACCCATCTATAGTTTCAGAGTTCCTTGATCTACGGTGCAATTGATTTTATTTGTCTTGTTTCTTTTTTGGGTATCTTTAATGTTTCAAGTTAAAGTTCACCTAATATAAAGTAAACAATAGAACAGTTACATTGCCCTACAATGCATGTTCGGTACATTTTCCCCATTGTGAGAAAGTGAGTTTTCTTTTTATTAAGTATTTTCACTGCTTCAGAAACAGAAACACTTGAATAAATTATTGCTAGTTTTGGTCTAAAACATGTTTTTCGGTCGCTCCTATGAATGCAACAGCGTATAATTTTAAAGCATCATGGTCTCTGAAACAAAACCTTTCATCAGAAGAATTCAATTACTGTTAGCGGTGAATAAACCAAACCACTTTTACAAGTTATTGCTTTGTTTTTGGAAAAGAATGATCACACATTCAAGATAAAATGTGTGGTGACCCACTAGAGGGCTCCACTCACACCCAAGCTGGGAGGAAAGATTCTGCTGTTTTGGCGCAATATGCTCAGTTCATGTTTGGAGGTGAATAAAGTTGGAGTGTAAAACTAGAGCTCCTGTGTCGTGTGTGAAAACTGGGTGTGGGTCCCAATCAGCCAGGGTTTCGGGTGTGTTCATTGTGAAACCTGGCCCCACCTTATCATGTGAATTCCTGAGGTCAGATGGCCCAGGATGTGAGTGGGCGTTCAGGCGTCTGGGGAGGGAACTCAAAACTGAATTATAGATGGCAGACAGTTGGTGTCGTAAACCACCGCCTCTGTTCAAAGATGGTCACTCACAGTGGACATAGATGGCTTCTTTCACTCCTCTTTCAAGCCATCTCTGTCCAAAATGTGAACATTGGCATCCTCGAAAGAGTGTCCTTTAGCCTTTAGATGCAGATGGACTGCTGAGTCTTGTCCTGTGGAGGTGGCTCTTCTGTGTTGTGCCATACGTTTGTGAAGTGGCTGCTTGGTCTCTCCAATGTAGAGGTCTGGGCATTCCTCGCTGCACTGCACTAACTAGTGTAACCAGACATTATGCTCAGACATTGTAAACTAAGCAAAGGAAGTACTAGAATAAATCCGATGAATCTTTTGGCAAAAGTGAAACCGATATTTTATTCTTGTAAATAACTTTAATCAAATTGTTTCATTTCCTGTGATAGAGATCTTGTGATCAAGATTTCAAAGACAAAATGGATCAGTAGGACATGCGACAGTATTTGCATTATTTACAATCAACTACACATCCCAACTTTGGTTAACACACAAAAATCAATCTACATCTATCCATGTAGAGCTATTCTAACATTTATATTTGTAAAAAATAAAAATTAAAAATTAAAAAATGTATGGATTAAAATTACTGATCAGTTATCTTTTAATTGGGAGTTTTTATTATTTAAAAAAAACACAAAATTAAATATCAAATAAGATTATCTAAAAATATGCCACTTACTGCTAACTGACTAAATAAAACTAAATTTTCTAAATCAGAGCTCTATTAGATTATGCAGGTATACACATTAAACAGTTAGTTGTGAGTTCCCATCATATGCATTTGATACCAATTAATTTTCACCCACCACACCAGCCTGGACCTGTTCATTGTTAAAGAACATCGGGTTATCAAAGGTAGTTAAGTTTTCAGAGATGGACTGGCAGATACCAGACTTTTTCAACAGGAAGATGATGATGACTATCCCTATGGCAGTCACAGTAATGCCAAGCAAAACCTCCAAAACCATGTGGCCATTGGCTTTAGGATCCTCTATAGAAGAACTTGCTGTATAGATTGAGCACATAGATTAGTCCAACTAAATTATAAATGTAAGACAAATATAAAAAAAGACACAACTTACCAATTGTTGTTGGTGCTTGTAATACTAAAAAGAAGATTTAAAAAAGATAAAAATTTCTGTGTCACTGCAGGGACTGGTACTGTAATGCTAAATCAATTGAAACTAGTGCTGTCAGTGTTAATCTTGTTAAAATGTTGTTAAATGTTGCATAACTACATTAACGCGGCAAATCTCCGTTAGCGAGTTAACGCGGATTGCCCCGTGTGAGGGCTGCACGGTGTCAACGCGTTAGCATGGTTAGGTTGTTAACGCATTAGCGCCATGCAGCTCCTCCCACATGGCGATCCGCGTTAACTTGCTAACGGAGAACCGCCGCGTTAATGCGGTTATGGTGTTAACATCATTTTAACAAGATTAACGCTGACAGCACTAATTGAAACATGTTGTTAGGTGTATGTGTTGCACATTTGTGCTATTACAAAACCATTTTTTAAATTTCTGGACTTACCTTTAGGTGCTTTACAAATAAATCCCTTGCTACTATACACCCTGCCTGTTGTCCAACTCCCATCTAGAGATGCAATTGCTCCATAGGTTCCAAAACCGCCAGGCTCATTTGGACCCCAGTTAATGAAGTCAATGGCTGTTTTATCCAACCATTTCCACAAGCCTAGAAACAAACAGAATTTCTCTTTTGCTCTAGTTCAGTTGCAAGAAAACTGGTACTTTATTTTTACTCTTGCAATAGGAAATATGTATGAAGGGGAATAACTTGAAAAGTTACATTAATTAGCCACTTCAGAGCAGTAGAAGTGACTGAAAACACAACACTAGCACCTTAATGCTCCACTACCAAATGTTCATAGTTGTGTTTGGCAGTTTGCTTTTTTCCCCTCCTTCTTAATGGTCAATAGGTGACGAGTCATCGGTAGCCAAAAGAAGTGTGGATCAGTGGCGGCTGGCCCATAGGGGGCGCTCGGGCTCCGCCCCCCCAAATGTGGAGGAGTAAAAATATATATTTTTAAAAAATTCATCAATGATAGTTTTACTATGTGTGTGCCCATATACAGCCAGGCGTATTTTAACATTTTCACCAGCTGACTCATTAAAGTTCAACCAACAAACGGTGTTTTTCTTCTTCTGGGGCGCTCGTCAAAGCGCCCTTGATATGCAGCGAAATAGCCTATCATTAAATGGTTGCCAGGGGAAAATAATAAATATTTGACCTATCAGCGTTGCTGAATTAAATGGTTTGGGGGCGCTTAAAATTGCGCCCCTGCAGAAAACGCGCGAAGATTTGCTGTTCTAGAATTTTACCTCAGTCAGTAGCCTAAGTGAGCTATAAGGTCAGAGAGAGACGATGGCAGCGGTATTGTTAACGGTTGAGGCACAGCCTCCCCCAAATTCGGTTAGATCGCTTCTAACCTACCCTTTTGCCAGAAGGACAATGGCAGAAAAACTGCAAGTTAAAGAGTTGGGACCTGACAAGCCCGAAATTCAACTAACCCAGGCAACGAAGGAGAAGTCAAAAGCATACAACAGGACTTTTTGTCGGAGTTGGTTCCAGCGCAAGTCGTGGCTGACAGGCTGTGGAACAGCTAATGCACTTTTTTGTTTCCCGTGCATACTGTTCAAAAGTGACAAGTGTGATTTGACGCGGACACAATCTGGACAAACCGACTTAAAGCACCTCTCCGAACGAATCAAGAAACATGAAAGCTCACGAGTTCATATGGACAACAGTGTAAAGCTAGCTGTGCTAGGGAAAACTAGCATAGCGGCGCAGCTAGATGATGGACATCGGATTGCTTTAAGAAGGCACAACGAAGAGGTAGATAAAAACCGTCATATTTTATCTAAAATCATCGATTGTATTAAGTTTTGTGGTGCTTTTGAGCTAGCAATGCGGGGACGCATTTAGCCCACCCCCCCCAATCAGTTTACAGTTGTTGTTTTCAATAGTTATTTTTCATTCATTCAAAAAAAAAAAAAAAAAATCTGTTCATGTTCATTTTTACAAATCTATACAAATGGCCAGAATATGGTTGTTCATTTTAAATTTAAATTAAAATTGTGTTGTTTGATGTACTCATTAAATGGGTCATTTTAGTCGATATCATAAAAATTGCCCCCCCTGAGATTTTTTTCAGGAGCCGCCACTGGTGTGGATGTCTAGAAGTCTGAAGTAATCACTGAGTTTGTCTCAATTGTTTGTTTCATGTCTTTCTGAATGCAACATGAAACATTAATCATTTGGGGAAATTTGATCTCTGGGGATCTGTCCAAAGGCTGGTCTACCTTGTAAGTAACAAGTCACTGCAGAGAGTCCAGGAAAATCACTTTCTCAATCACAGCAACCTGTCACTAATCACATGTTATATTAAAACACTAAGATTGT